TATGTATTTAATAGTTTCGTTTTATAACACATATGTAACCAACATCACCTTCTCCTTCTTCTAAAGTTTGCTGATAAGACCTTCAATAGCCCCAGCTTTTAAATTAGGAGACTATTAAAGCATGTGACTACTTCAAGGGGTCAAGATTTGATTTTTTCTGTAACTCTTTGTTTATAGAGATAATAGCAATTTCTCCATGATAGGGGAATGTCTCAGGTGATGGGCGTGCTGAATCCCTGGAGGCAAGAGCTAGCGATTAACTGATAGGTTACTAAACCTGTCAGTCCATTGCCTAGGACAGTGAATTTCCTGTGGCCCTGCCTCCTGACCTGACCCTATTTAGGCCCAGACCAACTCGGGCCTGTTATTCCATGCCACCTGTCTCCGTTTCTATCCAGCCTCCTGGCTCCCTGCTCTTCTCCAGTCATCATAGCATCCCAATTCCAATTAATTGGAGCTAAATGGGTTTGTTGGTATTGTTTTTTCTTCTTTCTTCACTGGCCTTCGTGGCTCAGTGTCCTAACAGTGTTAAGTGTACTTGCTGGCTGCTGGTCTTTGAGACAGGAGTCTACCATGCACTTGCTTTCCTTTTTTTTTTATTTTGTCGGTAGTGGGGCCTGAACTCTGGGCCTGGGTGCTGTTCCCCAGCGCTTCAGCTGTAGACCAGCACCCTATCACCTGAAACTCAGCCCCACTTCCAGCTTTTTGTGCTGATGTGGTGCTGAGGAATCTAACTGAGGGCTTCATGCATTCAAGGCAAGCCCTCTACCACTGAGCCACCTTCCCAGCCCCTGCTTTCCTTTTAATAAAGACTTCAAGATTGACATCTCCAAATGTGGCTTCTCGGTTTTCTTACCTTACAGCATGAATACATTGAGTAACATTTTTTTTTTTTTGGGTCCTGTCATGGGGCCTAAACTCTGGGCCTGGGCGCTGTCCCTCAGCTCTTCAGCTCAAGGCTAGCGCTCTACCACTTGAGCCACAGTGCCACTTCCGGCTTTTTTCTTTTTGCTTATGTGGTGCTGAGGAATCGAACCCAGGGCCTCAGGCATGCAAGGCAAGCACTCTACCAATGAGCCACCATCCCAGCCCTTGAGTAACGTTTAAATGAAGTTAAACATATACGCTTCCTCAAATATTTATCAATTATGGTGAAACCATTTAAAATCCTTTTCAGCTTTTTGAAATAGACATAATCATTGTTAACTTTACCCTACCATGCAATATCACACCAGAACTGATTGCTGAGTGAGTCATAAGACCTACTAATAGTAAAGGTGAATATTTTATTTTTATTTGGTATTTGAAAGACGAGATAGACCCATTCCCTTTCCTACCCATGAAAGAGCTTCAAATTTCAGCCCACATGGTGTTGCCTATTCTTTTTTCCAGCTTTTTCTTTTCTTTTCTTTTCTTTTTTGGTCAGTAATGGAGCTTGAACTCAGGGCTTGGGCACTGTCCCTCAGCTCTTCAGCTCAAGGCAAGTGCTCTACCACTTGAGCTACAGTGCCACTTCCGGTTTTCTGGTGGTTTATTGGAGATAGGAATCTCAGGGTCTCTCCTCCCCAGCCTGGCTTTGAACCACGATCCTCAGATCTCAGCCTCCTGAGTAGCTAGGATTACCTGTGTGAACCACCAGCGCCTGGCTTTTTTTTTTACTCTGGTATTGGTTGAGCACACATGTGCCAAGAACACTGTCCCTGAGCTCCTTTGGTCAGAACTAGCACCCTACCACTTGAGTCACAGCTTCATTTCCAGCTTTTTGGTAGTTAATTGGATATAATAGTCTCACAGACTTGCCTGTCAGGGATGGCTTTTAACTGTGATCCTCAGATCTCAGTCTCCTAAGTAGCCAGGATTAGAGGCAAGGGTTACCACCTTTATATTTTCCGTTATAAACAAAATAACCACAGAACATTCATCACAAAGGTGAAATTTTTAAACAAAGAAGAGATAACGTGGTATGGTAGTACTTGGGAAGGTTATTGTAGGAAGAGTGAATAAACAGAATGTTTATAAACCCAAGGTTTATAATAAACCCAAGGTATTTGGAGAATGGCAAGTGGGAAAGGAGGAAGTAAGGGAGAAAGTAGTACAGTAGTTAGATACAGATACTACATGGGGAAGGGACTTTCAGAACTTGAAGGAATATAGGTGATACCATATGGCTTTGAACTGTGTTATTATACAGATGTTTTTCCTTAACTATAGGGAAGTTATGGGTCTTGTGTGATCAGTTATATGCATGGAACAGCTGTTTTTTTTCTTTGAACAAAATGTTAAGAACAAAATTACAAATGTTTTACCACAGTGAGTTTCTCTGGATCAGACATCTGAAAACTACGCATCCTTCACTCAGATAGTGTCGGCCTTTTAACCCATCTGCACATCAAGCTGCTACTCATGTTTTCATTCTTGGTTTCTGCTTTTACCTGACATAATAAGATATGATCTGAACATTTCAGATCTGTGCATCTTCTCTGTGTCCTTTAGGAAATTTTCATAGTAAAGACTACCAGGACACTGGGGTAATTTCTTATATGATACCAATCAGGATCCTCCATCATAATAAGAATTTGTATGAGAGATTCACCTTTAGGCACAGCCTACAATAAGTGAGGGGAAAAAAAATCAGAAATCCATTCAAGTCAGAAAGAAAAGGTGTTCATGGGAGGAACACTCTGCTCAGCATGTTGGAGGCCTATTAAAAGGGCCAAGTAGTTTGAGTGGAGGAAGCAAACAGGACAGTCCTAGAAGATGAGGTAAAGCCTATCACTTGGGCCACAGTATGCGATACCAGACAGGCCAAAGGAAGGACTCTGAAAGTTCCTGAGGTAGGAGCAGCACATGATTAAACTGTTTACAAAAGCCTCTACAACTATGGGGCTCTCATTCCCTCCTTGGGCTGGCTTTGCCTTGTAGTTTAAGGAAAGTTGAATTCTCTTATGTTCTTAGATATATGTATGTAGGGGCTCCAGTATCACAATGGACCCAATAGGAGTGGTCAGACACTTGTACTTCAATGTTTTTCTCTGTTCTCTGTTGAATGTGAGTCTTAATGCTACTGCCTTAGTTCAAAGCCAGTAGAGCAGCATGCCTGCACATTCAAATCTGTGGTAAGCAATAAACTTGCCTAAGAAAGTTAGTGACTCTTTCCACACAAATAGCTCACCACTTCTCAGCGTCAGGGTCCTCTGAGTAGTCACACATTCACGAAAGTTGTTGAGGAGAAAAGGATCTTAGAACAACTAAGGTAGGGATATGGAAATTAGTCAAGCCTAGAACAGGTGCCTCAAGTTCTTTCCTTCTGAAGAAGATATACTAGCACTCCAGACTATTCTGGGGGACATTATAGTATTCTTGGGTTTCTTTCAGCCACTCCCACTAACTATCTTCTGTGTTAATGTAAGTAATATCAGTGTTCTCAGAAAATATGGCCAGTCCTTAGGGACATTCTGAATATTTGGTAAATAGGTTTTTGGTTGTCCCAATGATAGAGATAGGCCTAGGAGATGAGGAAGCCATATCTTATAACTCAATCTGAAGCCAACCTAGGCAGAAAAATCTCCAAGACTCCATCTCTAATTAACCAGCAAAAAAGCAGGGCTAGAATCATAGCTTGATTACTATAAGGCAAGCCAAGCAAGTTCAAGTCATTGAGTTTAACTTACCTGGACAACTTAAAAGTGACTATATGACATTAAAAAAAGAAAGTAAGAAACAAAGAAAACACACACACACAGGATGTGGATCCCAGAAAGATTCTGCTATTTTTCTAAGGTGGATGGGAAGGCCATGGATTATGGTAACATAGCTTGGAAAAAATTATTTCTTCTAGGATCACATTCAATCTTACATCTCTGGGTTGGAGCACATTCTTTTGTGCTCAATCAATTTGGGGGGGGGGGAGGATGTTGACTGAAAAATTATGTGACCAGACATAAATTTCAGTATAAAACAATAGAAAAGCATCTTAGTTTGGATTAATTCAAATCCATTTTCCAAGGATGATTAATTAACAATGGCATAAATTACTTACATTCACAGACAAAATACATTTAAATTCTTATTCTCTCTGTTTCAAGAACTTTATCTTTCTAAATAAGTTACGAGCATTTCATGGAACAGCCAAAAATGCCCTCTTCATGTTTCTCCACGTGCTGTACAGATTTTAGTCTATCACCCCATATTCTTCTAATCATCTTCCTACCTAATTATTCCTAGCTGTACTGACAGCCAGTAGCCTATATCTTTATCCGAGCCCAGGGAGTGTATTTTCGCAACCAAACCCTTCTCAATCCTCTTCTCACTTTCTCTCATGAACTCTATCTGGTGATTCCTTCATTCCATTCCTTCACCTGGAAAATATCCAATCCTAGGATTGACTGATCCTGTTTTCAAGTCTGTTCTTAGTGAGATGTATAAGATACAAAAAAAATTTTTTTAATTATGTACATTTGATAGGTAAGTTGTTAGTGAAAGTAACAAAAGAAAACATGCGGTGGAATACACCAGGAAAGGTGGAAAATATGAATAAAAGCTTCACACTAGTAATTTCACTAAAAAAATGGGTAATAAAGGAGCAGGGGGGAAAAAAGGCCTTGCACAACCCTATCCCATATATTACACTGTTCCTTTAGTAACAAAGAGAAAGGGAGGGTTTCAAATTTCCCGCGCAGCATCAGGATTGGTCACAGGCACCAGCGTTGACTTTCTCTTTTGGTTTTTATTAGCAAATTCAGCACAGCAGTCAAAAGAGAAATTAACCAATACGTTTGTGCGACAAGCATCTCCTTGAGCGAGCAACACCTTAACAGGTGGACAGAGATGATCAAGTTCTTTAATAAGGGAACATTCTTACTGGGTTTGATATAAATCGACATCGAACACAGCAACGGAAAATGTAAAATGCGTTAAACTGCAGTGAGAATTTCTAAAGCCAAAAGAAGAAAGTTGTTGTATTAAGTTTAAGAAGCCACAAGCTGAGCGACAGTTCTTTCAGGAAAATGGAATGGCTCTGAAAAGAGCCTTTGGGGTGTGGGCTGAGACTGATCGGTCGTTTTCTGAGGACGCACTCACTTAGAGCTGGTGTACTTGGTGACGGCCTTGGTGCCCTCGGACACGGCGTGCTTGGCCAGCTCCCCGGGCAGCAGCAGGCGCACGGCCGTCTGGATCTCCCGAGACGTGATGGTCGAGCGCTTGTTGTAGTGCGCCAGGCGCGACGCCTCGCCCGCGATGCGCTCGAAGATGTCGTTCACGAACGAGTTCATGATGCCCATGGCCTTGGACGAGATGCCGGTGTCCGGGTGCACCTGCTTCAGCACCTTGTACACGTACACCGAGTAGCTCTCCTTGCGGCTGCGCTTGCGCTTCTTGCCGTCCTTCTTCTGCGCCTTGGTCACCGCCTTCTTCGACCCCTTCTTGGGCGCGGGAGCGGATTTTGAGGGCTCAGGCATAGTTGAGGAAAAACAAGGATCAGCTTAGGAAAAACCTGAACAAAAGCTTAGGTCACTCCCTTTGTTTACAGCTCCTTAAATAAGCTCGTTAGTGGGTTCTGAAGCGAACCCTGACAAAGTCATCTACTTGAACCAGTCAGAATTAGAGTATTTCAACACTACAATGCTATTGGCTGAACTGAAACCGTTCCTTGTAGCCAATAGCATTGGTTTATTTTCGTGCCCTGTAATAACTATAAGAGGAACAGTTCTCTTCCATTCGGAGCAGCCATAGCAAGCTTTCGTGTGTTTTCACAATGTCTGGACGTGGCAAGCAGGGAGGCAAGGCTCGCGCCAAGGCCAAGACCCGCTCTTCCCGAGCTGGTCTCCAGTTCCCCGTCGGACGTGTTCACCGGCTGCTCCGCAAAGGCAACTACTCGGAGCGCGTCGGCGCCGGAGCCCCGGTGTACCTGGCGGCCGTGCTGGAGTACCTGACGGCCGAGATCCTCGAGCTGGCTGGCAACGCGGCCCGCGACAACAAGAAGACCCGCATCATCCCGCGCCACCTGCAGCTGGCCATCCGCAACGACGAGGAGCTCAACAAGCTGCTGGGCAAAGTCACCATTGCTCAGGGCGGCGTCCTGCCCAACATCCAGGCCGTGCTGCTGCCCAAGAAGACCGAGAGCCACCACAAGGCCAAGGGCAAGTAAAAGGCCTTGTGTTTCCTCGCTAAAACCAGCCTTTTTCACTTTTCTATTCAAACCAAAGGCTCTTTTCAGAGCCACCTATCTTGTCACAGAAACAGCTGTACACTCCAATTAGTTGCATTACTCTCAAAATACTTGGTGAGCTAAAACAAAAGCTGTCAAGTAAAGCTGCAAAGATTCAAAGTTTAAACAGCATCGTCTTTCAAAATTCCTCTGGGAGAGTGCTTCAAAATCAGCTCGTAGAGAACCTTTATTTCGAACAAAACATCACAGTGGAACGGTTACATGCAGGAATAAACTTTGTAACTGGTTCAACTCCACATCAGAATATAGATCAAAGGGAATATGGTATTAAGCCAGCAAAATTGGCTTTAGCAGGGAAAACATCGGAGACTAAGAAAGCATGTTACCCGAGAAGTGGCCACTTGTTAATTCATATTTTTTTTCAAAAGGTATCAATTAAAGTCAATTTCCTCTGGAAGGCATCAGTGAAAGTGAATACAAACACCCCAAATCCATTATGTATTTCTTTGTGTTTTCTATATATACATTGTAATGGATCACTTGCAAGGTGTTCTTTGGAAGAAACCACAGCTTTCACAAATGGGAAGTAAAATTATCTTTTAAACTTTCTCTACCTACTTGATTGGAAAACCTACATTATTGATACTGTTGCACTCAATTCATCTTTGTCTCAAATTTACTTAAGACAAAGTAAATTTGTTGTTACTATTAATTTCTCTACAAACTGGACAACTTAATTTTTTAAAAAACTTCCTTGTCTTAAGTATCATGTGTTATAGAGTAATAAAATACTAACATGATTAGGGACAGTTTTTTTTCTTGATATGAGATGTTGGAATTCACAATCCTGCTTCAGCCTCCACAATACTGGGATTCCGGGCATATTTCACCATTATCTGTCCTTACATTGAATACGCCTCTTAGACTACCTCAATGACAACCATTTAAAAAGGTCAAATTGTGTTCATTTTATTATAAGTTCTAATAAAAAATTATTTTAAGGAAAAAAGGTGAGATTATGGGGATCTGGAGGTATAAAGGGAAATATAGCTATTCGATCAGTAGTTACAGTGTGCCAGTAAATAAACAATATATTGAAGACAATTTATACATGAGAGAAATCCAGCCAAGAGGTAAGGGACAGTTGGGAAGACATACTGTGATATAATTTCTGTAGTAGTAATTTATCTGTAATACTTAACCTAAGTTTTCATGGCAGGTTCTTCTTTCAAACTGATGTCAAATGTACATTTCTTTGGCTAGTCGGGTGCCACTCCTAGCTACTCAGGAAGCTGAGGTCTTAGTATTGCAGTTCAAAACAAGACCATTCAGGAAAATCAAACAAAAAATAAAGCCCAAAGTGGAGCTGTGGTTCAAATTGACAGCACTAGTCTTTACAAAAAAGCTCCAGGACCGCACCCAAGGCAAATTCAAGCCCTATGCCCTAGGACTGGAAGGAAAAGAGGAAAAAGACTAATTATTCAATCACAATACTAAAGTGAATGTAGGCATGTAAAATATCACAAAGGCAATTTGAGACTTCACAAAATAATTCTGAAATTACCATAAAATGCAATCTCGGTGAAACCAGGATAGGAAATTTCACAAGGAAATGGAACTTGAAATACAAAATGCCTGACCTTCTAATATGCCTCAAAATGGTAAATTTGAGGTATACTGAAAACAGGAAATTCAATACTGGTCCCAAATATAATGAGTCAACTGATGTTAAGTAAAGAAAGATGAATTATTTTTAAACTGTGCCAAACCCACAAATTTCTAACACCGTAGTTTAAAGTGTACAAGTAAAGAAAGATGAATTATTTTTAAACTGTGCCAAACCCACAAATTTCTAACACCTTAGTTTAAAGTGTACTAAGAAAGATTGGTTAGAAGAAATAATAGGAATATATTGTCACTTGTAATCTATGAGGAAAAATATAAACCCTATCAGAAAAACTATAAACTGAAAGCAGACATAGTAATTGCTCATTTTTTTTTCTTTAGGCCAATTTGCTATATCTTACTCTAATTGATTATACGAAGGGTAGATTTTAGGAGACTGTCCTCGTGTTCTTTTGTTGTGAGCCACATGGATGATAAAGACGGCAGAATGTGAGGAGCCTGTCCTCGAGTTCCAAGTGATACTTCTTCACCCAGGAAAAGGAGGAATCTCAAAATCCGATTTATGATAAGAAGGGGGACACAGGACAGAAATCGCTTTTTAGGAAATCCTTGAGAGAAGGGATACGGATGAAAATGTAAGCGTAAAGAAGGCAGCCAAGGCTATTTCGAACACCGTAGCGGCGTTCTTAGAATGGGTGCTGTTTGCCAAGGAACCTTAGCAACTAGCAGCAGCGTTCTCGGGGTGGTGGGATACCGGCGGGTATTGGATTGCTTGTCTCCTTTTTGTACTGTCCACAGTATTACTGCTTTGTCCAAAGAGGCCTCTGTAAAAGCCTTCCAACTCGGCAAACACCACGCAGGGAGAGAAAAAAGCTCTCTCCTTCCCCTGCCTCCCCGCCCACCCCCCCTGCTTTCGCGCCTCCAGTTGGACTGGCTTTCTCCTCCCTCCTCCCCGTGGTGGGCGTGACTGGATTTCCCGCCTCCCGCGCTCCGGTTCTCACTTCGGTCCGCCACAGGACGTATAAAGGCTTCTGGTCGGCGCCAGAGTGCTCACGGCGGTTTTCTCTCTCCGAGCTTGTAGTCTTCAGAGGCATCATGTCTGGCCGCGGCAAGGGTGGTAAAGGCCTGGGCAAAGGCGGCGCCAAGCGTCACCGCAAGGTGCTGCGCGACAACATCCAGGGCATCACCAAGCCCGCCATCCGGCGCCTGGCTCGCCGTGGCGGAGTCAAGCGCATCTCCGGCCTGATCTACGAGGAGACCCGCGGGGTGCTCAAGGTGTTCCTGGAGAACGTGATCCGCGACGCTGTCACCTACACGGAGCACGCCAAGCGCAAGACCGTCACCGCCATGGACGTGGTCTACGCGCTCAAGCGCCAGGGCCGCACCCTCTACGGCTTCGGCGGCTAAACCACCGCAGGTCCTAGCCTGGTTGCTCTGTTCATCCACAAAGGCCCTTTTCAGGGCCGCCACTTTCTCATCGAAAGAGCCCACGCTCGGTGTGTAGCTTTCGCCGTTCTGAAATTTAACATGATTTGAAAGCTTGAGCTGTGGTTGGTTTCCTTGGTACACTGTAGCGTTGGTAATGTTTCCGCCCTTTCATCATTTCCTTGCTTGCCATCTTAAAACAAAGATAAATAGGTAAAGGTGGTGTTTGTGGTCATCAATTTATGGAACACACACTCTCTCTTCCAGAAATGCCATATCTTGTACTAAGTGGCAGAGTGGAGGAGTCATAATAGTAATACCAGAAGATGTAAAAACTATGTGAGACTGTTTTACAACTTTACACTGACCAGGGCGAGTGATGTTTAAAACGCAGTGAGATGAATATGGGATTAAATGGATACTCATCATTTTCTAGTAGGAATTTAGTTTAGGAATATACAGGCAAGTAAATTTTGAGAGGAATGACTGAATAAAAGTGCTTATAGCAACCTGACTCAGCAAGTGCAAGGCTAATCCCTTATTTATGATTACTATCAATTGATTTTCTCTTTGTAAGTGCTGCCTAAGAAAGAGCAAATTTTCCTTTTTTTTTTTTAAAATGCAGTCTTGCTACGCAGGCTGGCCTGGGAAATCCTGATCCTCCTGCCTTGTCCTCCAGACTGCTGAGGTTATTGACAAACCCAATTGTGCATAGGAAAAGCAGCTTTTTAACATATTCCAGTAATTAATTAAGGCTCAAGTAGCCATGTGTGGTTACATTTAAGGTATACCATAGTCCATCAAGACAAGTATCTTTTTTTTTTTGGGTCGGTCCTTGGTCTTGAACTCAGCTTGGGCACTGTCCCTGTGCTCTTCAGCTCAAGGCGAGCACTCTACCGCTAGAGCCATAGCACCACTAAGACATCTTAATATCAACACAGTTTTTAGAAATGTAAAGTTTTGATTACTACAGTATTCATACTGTTTTTAACTTTGTACTCGTTCATTCTGGATGATAAAAGGCAGAAGAAAACACCTTTTGTTGCCTTCTGGGAATGACTATAACAGAACAATAAATAGGCTTGCTTGCTTTGTTGTGATTTTTCTTTGGTGTTTGGAACGTTTTAAAGTTCAAGTTCACACTACTTTCCCCAATAGTATAGCATTTAAATCAATCAATCAATCAATCAAACACAAACATGGATCAGAGATCTGTGTTTCATGTGACAAAAAGGCAAGCTTTTCTTTAAATGATTGTTTTTCTTTCTATTGATTGAGCAGAACTAGGGGTTTGAACCCAGGGCCTCCCTGGCAATTCTACCACCTCAATCTCCCGAGCAGATTACATGTGGGCTCATATGTGGCTGTTTTGTGAGGTTACACAGCCTATCATGGAATCTAGATTGTTTTTTACCCCTTTGTACAAAGACTGAGATCAAAACCTAAGAGGCATGGTGTCCCATGCCTGTAGGTCAGCTAGTTGAGATATGGAGGTCAGAAAGATTGGACCCAATCTCAACCAATTATCAGCATAATGGCTGGTGGCTATAAAGGCTGCTATGTGATAGGTAGCTCCAGAAAAAAAAAATGTGATCCTTTCTGAAGAATAATGAAGGGCTGGAGGCATGACTCAAGTGGTTGAGTCTAACAAGCATTAGAGTTCAAACCATAAAAACAATCCCCATGGAATGGGTTGGGGTGGTGCGATGAAGCACACCTGCAAAGTCAGCATTTAGATTAAGATAGGAGGATTGGCAGTTGTAGATCTATATTGACTACACAGTTCTGTCTCTCAAGAAACAATAAAACAAAGCAAAAACCTTCGGTTTATTTCATTTAGAGCTAACAAAGTTTGTTGCACGAGGAGATCTCACTTTAAGCATCTGCAAAATTTCTCTGTGCTTTACTACTTGGTTTTGCCTTGCTAGTTAGCTCTACATTTCTCTCCAAACCCGTCTCTCTTCCCTATTCGGTAATACAGAGCGGATTATTTTCCTATTTCTTTGTCTACACTCACCCCCATGCAGATTGCACTAGCAGAAATCAAAAACCATCAGTATGGTATTGACTTGCAATTTTATATCTCAATCTTATGTTTTCCTCCAAAACTTCATTCAGCTGCATTCTTTACATAAATTTTAATAGACTAAGGCTAACATTCCAAAGTGTAACTACTGATATTTGTCCTGTCATATTTAAAACTATTAATTCAACACATAGTTGCATCATCTATGTCCTTTCCCACACTTACATTCAACTCTTGTGAATTCTCAATATGTGTAATTAGTTTACTCTCACTTGTATGTAAATTACCATCAGTGACCTTCCTTTCAAACCATTATAACTGTGGTATTTTTAAAAATTTTATTCTAAAGGTGATGTACAGAGGGGTAACAATTACATAAGTAAGGTAATGAGTGCATTTCCTTTTGAGTGTCACCCCTTTTTGCTTCCCATCTTGATTCCTCTGGTCCTGTAGGAAGTTCATCTCGAGGTCCTGGTGAATCTCCAAATACATTTTCAAACAAGCTCTGAAGTGCATGAAAAGACTCAGATCACTTTTAAATGCTGGAGAAACATTTTTGCTAAAGCAGTTTAAACAGTAACTGCTTCGTTGAGAAATAAGATTACACTTAGGATGAGATAAGCAGATGGAACAGAGTAGCAAATTTTTTTCTCCTTCCCTGCTGCACTAGATTTCACTGATAACGAGGTTATGAAGACCAGAGTAGATTGTGAAAGGTGTAAAATATTCTGGATCAATAAAAGGTTACATATGCTAGTGTGAGAGACAGGACTAAAACCAGCTGTTGCTCAATACAGCCAAGAGGTAATATTAAATTTACTTTAGGAGACGGGAAAATTAGACGTAAAAGCAATGAACTGCCAATTAAGTTGTCTTGCTGTAGTGAGGAAAAGCAAACCATTTGTAAAGGGCAATAATCTGCCAGGTTAAACGAAGTGCATTAGAGAAATCTTGTGAACTCAAATGCTTGCAATGTCGCCATTCTAGTTACTGGAGTAAAATTCTAAAAACTAGCGACCATAAGACTACACTCAATTTGCAGGTAATAGAACTCGAGAGGCTGATGTTGCAGGTTAACTGGGTAAAAGGGCACAGGATAAGTTGGAAAGAACCGAAAATAACCTTTAGAAATTGGGAATTACACCAAATGAGCTAAAAATAAATGGGAATTTAACACTAACATAAAGTATAGCGAGAGTGGAGAAAATACTGGGTGTGAGCCCTTCAGATGAAGATATGGCGGCCCTGAAAAGGGCCTTTGTGGATGAACAGAGCAACCAGGCTAGGACTTGCGGTGGTTTAGCCGCCGAAGCCGTAGAGGGTGCGGCCCTGGCGCTTGAGCGCGTAGACCACGTCCATGGCGGTGACGGTCTTGCGCTTGGCGTGCTCCGTGTAGGTGACAGCGTCGCGGATCACGTTCTCCAGGAACACCTTGAGCACCCCGCGGGTCTCCTCGTAGATCAGGCCGGAGATGCGCTTGACTCCGCCACGGCGAGCCAGGCGCCGGATGGCGGGCTTGGTGATGCCCTGGATGTTGTCGCGCAGCACCTTGCGGTGACGCTTGGCGCCGCCTTTGCCCAGGCCTTTACCACCCTTGCCGCGGCCAGACATGATGCCTCTGAAGACTACAAGCTCGGAGAGAGAAAACCGCCGTGAGCACTCTGGCGCCGACCAGAAGCCTTTATACGTCCTGCGGCGGACCGAAGTGAGAACCGGAGCGCGGGAGGCGGGAAATCCAGTCACGCCCACCACGGGGAGGAGGGAGGAGAAAGCCAGTCCAACTGGAGGCGCGAAAGCAGGGGGGGTGGGCGGGGAGGCAGGGGAAGGAGAGAGCTTTTTTCTCTCCCTGCGTGGTGTTTGCCGAGTTGGAAGGCTTTTACAGAGGCCTCTTTGGACAAAGCAGTAATACTGTGGACAGTACAAAAAGGAGACAAGCAATCCAATACCCGCCGGTATCCCACCACCCCGAGAACGCTGCTGCTAGTTGCTAAGGTTCCTTGGCAAACAGCACCCATTCTAAGAACGCCGCTACGGTGTTCGAAATAGCCTTGGCTGCCTTCTTTACGCTTACATTTTCATCCGTATCCCTTCTCTCAAGGATTTCCTAAAAAGCGATTTCTGTCCTGTGTCCCCCTTCTTATCATAAATCGGATTTTGAGATTCCTCCTTTTCCTGGGTGAAGAAGTATCACTTGGAACTCGAGGACAGGCTCCTCACATTCTGCCGTCTTTATCATCCATGTGGCTCACAACAAAAGTCTGGCGAATTTGCCCTAGGAAAACATTTAGAGGTCATGGCTGTTTTCATAACGGTTTTTGACACATTTTTAGTAAAGCTAGAGTATTTCATAAATTGTTCCTATTATCAGGGGAAATAACTTATTCTGAAGATAGCTCTCCTTTATCCTATGTGTGACTTGGCTGGTTGTGGATCCTTTTATGTGCGGCGTGTGTGTGTGTGTGTGTGTGTGTGTGTGTGTGTGTGTGTGACATTCTAGCGGAGTATTGAACCCATTTTTTAGCACCCATTTTTCCCAGGGCCCAACCATCTTTCAAAAAGTCATTTACTCTTTCTTAGCTTGCCATATGGCACCCTTCTCTTCCACTATAAAGAAGGTCCTTAAGCTTTTAGACCTGAATAAGTTTATGGGTAGCTATTTTTTCTTCATGTGATGACCCAGGCATGTAACACATTTACTTATTTTTTCTGCTAAAATATGTCTACCATCAGTTTATTTCAGACTATTATTCAACACTTCCTTTCTACTGAAAGGTCATTTTCTCAAATAGGGAAGGAATTGTAAAACTTTAAAATTCTAAAACAAGTATAATAATATACGATTGTTTAATCCTTTATTTTTATTTAGTATAATGGTATAATTAATTGCTAAGAAGAGTAATAAAGAGTGTAGAGTTTTATTTATATTGTGGTTTCAATAGTTCTGCTCTTCTTTCATAGCTTTATAATCATAAAGTAAATGAAAATAACATTTGCTCCTTTTAATACTGTAAAGATTAATAAGATAAATGATTAAACAAGTTTAGGTATTAACTACAATAAGGAGCTAACATGCATCTTAGCACTTGTCCACAA